CTTCTGTGCATTGAAAGTGATTTGCTCAACAAGGTCTGTTCAAAGAACTAATTGACAAATTTGCAGTTATAAAAGCGCGAAAATTTTAAATAATGTAGTTTTTGCCTAATAAATATTCTTTTTTAAATTTTACTACTCTTCTTTTTATGGGAAACGCCGTATTATTTGTGTTTTCAGACCACTTATTAAAATATGCCATAGGGCCAACAAAGCCTTAATTCGGCACTGCCTGAATCTACTCAATATCTCTGTGAGAATAAGAATACATTTTCAATATTGCATATTAATATTCGAAGTATGAATAAAAACTTCGAGAACTTTAAGTGTTTATTGGGAGAACTTAATCATGGTTTTAAAATAATTTGTTTCACAGAAACTTGGCTTAAAAGCAATAAAACAAATTCTAATTTTGAGTTAAGATACTATACATCAGTTCATTAAATGCGCGATATTTGCGTTGGTGGTGGTATAAGCATATACGTTCACAATTCTATTGATTTTGTTCAACGTAAAGGTCTTAATGTAAATAATACAGATTGTGAGGCATTGAGATAAGAAATATATTAGCTAAAAATATCATAATCAATGCTATTTATAAAACGCCAGCTGGTAGTTTAAAAACATTCAAAACTTATCTGCGCACATTCCTAAACACAAAAAATATATTGCAAAAGCATGTTTACGTAGTTGGGGATATCAACATTGACTTACTCAACCATGCCTTAAATAGTGAAGCAAAAACTTTTATTGATATTCTTCTCGAATACAACCTTATCCTAACTATAAACAAAGCAACAAGAGTAACTAAAAAATCATCGACATTATTAGGTAATGTGATAACTAATAATTTTCATAATAGCCGTTTTGAAACTGGTATAATCAAGACTGATTTAACTGAACTTTTCCCTATATTCCTTATTACTGAGAGCGTTACTCTAAATAATGCTACAAATTAACAGTATTCATGAGACAAATCAATGAAAGTTCTATATGCCAATTTAAAAATTTATTAAATAATTACGTCGATTGGAATCTTGTGCTGCAATCACGATGTAAATAATGCTTATGATTTATTTCTAAACCAATTTTCTAAAATGTATGGTAAGGCATTTCCTTTAAAAGTGAAAGTAATAAACTCAAAGTCGGTTGTATCCCCATGGATGACCAAAGGCCTACTAAAATCATCAAGGAAAAAGCAAAAATTGTACGATAAATATTTAAAAAATAAAACTTATAAAAATGAAACTAATTACAAAAATTATAAAAATTTATTTGAAAAAAGTAAAAAGCGATCAAAAGTAAATTACTATACTAAACTGCTTAAAAAAAAACAAAGGAAAACCTCAAAAAACGTGGAGTGTTATTAGAGACTTAATTGGGAAAAATAAAATTGAAAAAAACAACTTACCGCAAAAACTTATTATTGAGGGAAAAATGATGTATCATAAAGAAGTTATTATTGAGGAATTAAACAATTTTTTTCTTGATGTTGGCCCAAACCTAGCAGCGAAAATTCCAGTTGGTCAAAAAAAAACTTGATTCATATCTTGCAACAACTAGTTTAATTATGGAAGAAGCGATTTTAACCAAAAGTAAACTACATACTGCTTTTAATAGTCTGAAAAAAAATAAAAGTGCAGTGGTTTATAAGTAACCGACTATCATTAAATGTAGAGAAAACAAAATTTATCCTATTCCATAAACTAAGTAAAACCGAGAATATTCCTCTTGAACTACCCAATCTTTTAATCAATAATAAAATAAATAAAAGGGAATTGACTACAAACTTTCTGGGAGAGCTCTTAGATGAAAAATTATCATGGAAATTTCGTATTAAATATATTGAAGGTAAGATCTCAAAAAATATTGCCATGCTATACCGAACGAAACCTTTTCTTAACAACGAGTCTTTAAAAAATTTATATTTTTCGTTTATACACAGCTATCTTTCATACTGTAACATTTCCTAGGGTAGCACTAATCACACTAAACTAAAAAAAATTTATAGTAAACAAAAACATGCTTGCAGGATAGTATTTGTGGCAAATAGAAAAACACAATGCGAAACTCTCTTACGTCAGCTTGGAGCTTTAAATATTTATAAGCTTAATATTCATCAAGTAATGATATTTATGTTTAAAGCAAAACTTGGGTTTTCTCCAGTAACATTTCAATTCTACTTTAATGAAATCTCCCATAAATATCCAACCAAATTTTCAGTAAATAACTTTGTGGTTCCCATAAACTTTCTTAAATCAAGTTCGTACCAAATTCATTATCAGGGACCTTTGGTTTGGAAAAAATTTCTTACAATCTTTAGTAAAAAACAAAACTTCGTTTTAAACTGCACTTTGCAAAGTTTTAAGGGTGATTCAAAACGGCATTTACTGAACATGGAATTCGATATATTAGATCCCAAATACCTTTTTTGAAAACAATTTAAAGGTTTAAGCTAAATCACTTAAAATAAAATTAAATCTTTAACAATTTCTTTAGCTTTTATTAAAATGGTTTCAAACCATTAGTATAAAAGATAACGAAAATAAAATTGTCTTTTTCGTTCATATTTTTGATGATATTAAATAATCAGCCCAAATACTTATGTTTGCGTATACTGCTTTTTTTTTTTTTTTTTAATTAAACAACACTTTTTTTTTGTGTATTTATAACTTTCGTGATTTTTTGTCGTTTTTACTTTTTTATTTTTAAAATTATTCTGCTAGAAGATTGTTAGCAACAAATTATTTTATTGCTGAAGTTTTTGATTTGTTTTTGTTTTTGTATTTATACTGTCTTTTTGTCTTTTATCATTTATTGTGCATGTAAGTTTTTGTGTGACGGGGCTCGGTGATAAGACAACCTGTCTTCTTCTTACTGCGGTCAGGATTTTCTTTTATTGTAATTTCTTTTTTGTAATATTTATCAACGGCAAAATAAATAAATAAAAAATTATAATAAAAAAAACGTTTACATACTATAACAGCTATTTTAACTTTGTTTTTGTTGTTGTTTTTTTGTTTACATTTGACATAATATATATAAATTACATATTTCTTAAATACAAACAAAGCTTCTAAAAGAAGATCACAATGATCTTATCGTCAGAAGCCTTTTACAAAAGAGAGTACGCATAATATTATTAAAAAAAAAAAAAAACGTTATTACAATGAGCACGCAAAAATAACATAAAAACATTAGATCGTACTTAGATAAATAAAAATAAATCGTAAGCAAGTATAAAACAAAACTTGAAAATAAAAATTATTTTTTCATCACAAGATAAATTAAAAATATTCTAAGATATTTTTAAATATTTATATTAAAAAAAAAAAACGTTATTACAATGAGCACGCAAAAATAACATAAAAACATTAGATCGTACTTAGATAAATAAAAATAAATCGTAAGCAAGTATAAAACAAAACTTGAAAATAAAAATTATTTTTTCATCACAAGATAAATTAAAAATATTCTAAGATATTTTCAATAGAGAGAATGAGATCTTTTAATTTATTTTTGAAAACAGGGTAAGTTAGTGGTAAGTCGAAGATGGGCAAAATAATTTTGTTCCAGAGATGAGCTGCACGATAAGTGATACAAAATTGATTGAACTTTGTTCGACAGAGTGGTTCATTTAAATAATTATTATTTCTCATGTTAAACTTGGTTAATGGTTTCAAAATAAAAAGGTCTTTAAAAATTAAAGGAGATAAATCATACTTCCACATATGAACAAAAGATAAATTTTTATATACGTTTAGTTTATATATATCGAGTAATTTCATTTGATTAAAAAATATTGAGGAATGTGCGAACCGATCCGCAGAATTAATTAAACGGATCGCATATTTCTGACGGCGATAGAGACATTGTAACTTGCTTTGATTTGTGCTACCCCAGGCAATAACTCCATAACTTATATAACTATGAATAAAAGAGTAATAAAGTTTTGTTAAATTATTTTTATCTAAATGAGTACGCGCCTTATATAAAATTCCGATACTTTTTGAAACTTTCGAGCAGACATAGTTAATATGATGTTTCCATGTGATGTTCTCGTCAATGAATAACGAACAATAGAATAAGTATCATCTATAATTCAGTTATAGTCAATTTTTGATTAACAATCAAGTTAGAAAATTCAGAAATTACCCAGCAGGCACAATGACGTTGAAATAACGTTGAAACAACGTCGCAAACCGACCATATACCACGTTGAAACAACGTTGAAATTTGGTTGAATTGGAAATATAATCCGACGTCGAAAATTACGACGTTGAAACAACGTCGATGATTACGTCGTTTCAACGTTGATCTAACGTCTTATCGACTATATATCAACCATATTTCAACTTTGAATAGGTGATATATTCGATTGATACGTAGTTGATAAGACGTTAGAACAACGTTGAAACAACGTAAATTCAACGTTGGTTTTTGTTTTTTATTTTGGTTGAATCCAATTAACTAAAAAATTATCTCAACTTTAATTGCAATAAAATAATACAATAAAAAAGCAATAATTTGCGCAGAGGATATTATATTTCACGTAAATTAATCAGATACAACTAAATTGCTTCAACGGACTTTATATACAATGCAAATAAAGTAAAATGTTTGAAAAAAAAAAGTTTTATTTATCAGTAATATATTTATCAATTTATCAATAATAACTATTATCAATAGTTCCAGAACAACTAGGAAAAAGTATGAATGTTATACATCGGGTGAATTGCCTTTTACGCGCCGATCACCACCATTTGATCTGTCGAGTGCGTATTTTAATAAAGTCATTATTCCTTTTCTTATTTCGGTAACTGTAGCAGTCACTTTAATTGACAAAACGCTCTCTATAAAAAAAGGTATTGCCTCAGTAATTTGCATCAAATACACCAAAAAGTTAAAAATAAAATAGCATTAAAAAAACGAACTGTGATTTTTAAAAAATATATAACTTTACACTTAACTTACAAGTAATTACCTAATGTTTGTTCCTTTAAACTTCTCTTTACCTTTACCGCCAGCCATATTAAATTTTGATTATAAACCATTGGTCAACAACCTGCATTATACATTGTTATTATTATTACAGTTACATTAAAAATTGTTAAAACTAAGTAAAAATAATATCAAACTTTTTATATTTACCAGTGTCATTTTCTTTAATATGACTGTAGAATAAACAACCAAGTTCACACAAATTATAATTCTAAAATAGAATTTAATGAGGAAAAAATTCCTTTAATTGTTATGTACTTTTGAAAAAAAATTTATAAAAATAATAATATTTTTATAAAAGTTTATAAGACTCCTACAAAAATTGCTATAAAAGTTTTTTTTTCAAATATCATAAAGACTTTATAAAGAAATTTTTACACAAAGTAGAGAAATTAATCAATAAAAAGTTCTGAAAAAAGCTAATAATAAATTTTTATTTTTAAACAAAAAGTTCAACATACTTTACAAGTTATGAGACACTTTGTCAGGTTAAAAGTTTGATTAAGGTTGCATGCTGTCATACACTAAATATAAAAAAAACGAAACACCTGTTAAACTAAAAATTAATTTTTATTATTAGAAACAAGCCTTAGAAGAAATAATGTATATTTTAATTCTGTAGAATGGTAAAATCGTCATCGTCTCATATAACTTTATTACAAATATCTCCTGATTTCTTATAATACTTAATTTTGTAAACTATAACAACAACTTCTATAACTTCTGCTAAATAAAGCCTCTAGGCTTTATCTAGGCTCTATCTAGCTTTATCTATTTTATTTCGGCCAACTTGATGATTAAAAAACTCAGAAAAATTTTACTTAAAGTAAGTATATTTACTCCAAAATAAATTTCATCAGAACTTTCATCATTTAAAAACTAAAAGATAATCTGTTTTGTTATTTTAGGTGTATCAGTTAAAATATGCAATTTTCTTTTACGCCTATTATGTGTTTTTTTCTATTAGTTGTTATTCTTAACCTGGTTTTGGAATAAGGTCGTATTATTTAGGTAAAACAATAAATAATATTGATGGTAAACTCACAGGAGCCCTTTCTCATAAATTAAATGATGTCGATGGTAAAATGGCAGGAGCAGTTTTAACACCAATACTATCATTAGAAATGGAAACTTAAGTATTCACTATTAGCCTATCAGTAATATTTGCAGCTAAAATATTTAAAGCAATAAAAATTCTTTCACCCATGTTCCCCAGGGCTGTCCTGAGGGAGGCAAAGGGGTGTCTAGCCCCTGGTGATTTGTCATTCTTTGTTAGTTATTCTGGAAAGACAATCTGGTGATCAACTTTCTGGAGGAATATATTGGTTTCCTACTTATAATAAAAGTAAGTTTTAAATGTCTTTTCCAAAATACAAATTATTCTCAATGAAAAATTGCACAAACTGCAAAGGCTTCTTACCAAACCGTAATGCAAGTAAGAAAAAGAATTGATACAGGGAAAGAGTTTGGTCCAAGGAGACCACCTTCTAAACGCCAGAAAACACCAAGAGCGGACAGTATAATCAGAAATATCTCCCTGTAAAACAGAAAAAAAGCCACTAAGCTTACCCATGAAGCTGTAATTGTTTAGTTAGACCGGACCATTTGTAGAAGGCTAAAAGAAGAGGGACTGATGTAACTCTGGGTTATTATGGATAATAACCCAGAGTTGACAAAAACTATAAAAAAATAAATTGCAAGCATGCCACAATGCAATGAAGCAGTTATTGCAAATAAAAGTGTTTTTGCAAAATATTTATACTTTATATATATTTTATATAATTTATCATAATAATCAATAAATATTCAAAATGTTCAACTTTATTTATTTATTTTTATCAAGTACAACTTTATAAATAAAAGAAAAAACTTTAAATTGCACCATTATTATATATATATATATATATATATATATATATATATATATATATATATATATATATATATATATATATATATATATATATATATATATATATATATATATATATATATATATATATATATATATATATATATATATATATATATATGTATAATATATTCATATAAGCATATGTATGTATATATACATACATATATACATTTGTTTATTTATGTACATATATATGTATGTATATATAGAGTAAAAAAAAGATTAAGTATGCGTTACAAATCAACTTTTGTACTTTAAGGTTGTTCTTTAGCTCAAGGAAATACAAAAGTAAGAGTAAACAGTTACAAAAAAAGTTATAATCAGACATAAAAAAAAAAGATTTATTTTATGTCTGATTAGAATTCGTCAAACTTTTAAAATTATATGCTACACAGATTTTTAACACAAGTTTAAAACAAACTATAATAAAAAGATTCAAAAGATTTTTTATTTAAAACTACTTTTAACAAACCTTTGCATCACATTTATTTGTATTTGTCTTAATGGTTTTACCTCCAATTTTAGAAAGTTTGTTAATCTAAAGGTTTAAGAAAATAATTACACCACATTTTTTTTAAAGTACATTTATAAAAAGTTACAAGTAGATTAACTTAGGCTAAGTTATTAATAAATACTTAATCAAAAAACAATAAAAAAAACTGCAAAAAGTCATGGTTTGAAACAACTCATCACTTCTGACCTCAACCAAGAATCATTTAAACTGTTATCATAATCATTAAATTACTGCTGCAAGTTCATCCATAGAATTTCAGAACTATTTGTCATGATATTACTTTAATTACTGGAAAGAGTTTTTACTAACATCTCTTTCTAACAATAAAGATATATCAGAAAGACAAAAGAACCAAACATTAATAAATTTCTAAAAGCGTTGAAACACAAGAACATAAAATTTAAAAAATAAAACATTATTCATAAATTAAATAAAATGTATTAATTTAGCAACAAAATAAATGTGTAAATCACTGAAGCATAGAAAAAAATGTTCAGAATCTTTTCTTCCTAAATCAACTTGCAGACAGGCAATTAATACCTTGAGCTACAGTACGTGGAGTATGCATAAAAATTGTTTTCTGTGTCTTTTTTTTGCATTACAGGAGTAAATATTTGCTAACTATTCTGTTGGTTATTATGTTTTCTTTTGCATAAGCATGGTAGTGGCTCCTATAAAAATTAATATCATAATATAACAAATAATACTTGAATAAAGTATCTTTTGAAATAGTTACCGTTTTCTGAACCTGATTCTATCTGAGTATCACTAGGAGAGGCAAATTCAAATTTATTACATAACTCATGATCTAAGAATATTCATTCAATTTAAAAATGTTTTAAATACATTATATAATAAAGAATATATAATAAAGAATATATTTAAACACTGAAAACAACATATACAGAATGAAAGCATGTTAAAAAAACAAGGAAAAAAAGTAATGACTTAAGGTTTATATTTAAAAAAATTATATTATCTCCATGACATTTAATTTTGAGCAGCGCAAATCTGTATTAGTTAGATGTGGTTTATACATTTCATTGAAACAATTTATTACATTTAATGATGGCCAGCACAAAAAATTATCAATCGAATTTTCTCTCTTTATTTCTCTGTATTTTCTATCCAAACAGCTCGAATGAACATTTTGCATGCTCTACAATACTTTTTCAACTGGAAAAGTATAGTAGAAAATATAATAGAAAAAATACTTATATATTAAAAATTTGTTCATGTAAACTAGCTAACAGAAAAATACAACTTTAAACTGCACGTTATGATACATTATACAGTTGCTAAAATTTGCTAAATTTTATGTAGATCCTTCTACCAACCAATATCATGGACTAAAGGAGCATGCACAAATTCTTTTTTATACAACTTTACTAGAAAAATCTTTAAAAATTTAATAAAAATTTTTTAATATAAAAAATATTCAAACTCTTTAAATCACATATTATATATATATATATATATATATATATATATATATATATATATATATATATATATATATATATATATATATATATATATATATATATATATATATATACATATATATTATATATGCATATTATATATATGTATATATATATATATATATATATATATATATATATATATATATATATATATATATATATACATATATTATATGCATATATAATATATACATACACTCTATATGTATATATACATAATAATATAAATATATATACTATATATATATTATATATAGTATGGATTACAAGTATATATATATATATATATATATATATATATATATATATATATATATATATATATATATATATATATATATATATATATATATATATATATATATATATATATATATATATATATATATATATATATATATATATATATATATATATATATATATATATATATATATATATATATATATATATATATATATAGTGTGGATTACAAGTAGAGACTACTTGATATATTATATAAATATAAAATATATATTATATATGTTTTTCTTATTTATATAATATATATATATATATATATATATATATATATATATATATATATATATATATATATATATATATATTATATACATATATATATATATATATATATATATATATATATATATATATATATATATATATATATATATATATATATATATATATATATATATATATATATATATATATATATATATTATATAAATAAGAAAAACATATATAATATATATTTTATATTTATATAATATATCAAGTAGTCTCTACTTGTAATCCACACTCATGATATAATACGGTCATAAAGAAATATCCATTTAATATTTACCTAACTAACTGCATCACAAGTTAAGCCATGTATTATTGTTAAATTGTTAAATTCAAAACCTTATAAAAAGGCAACAGATGACCTAATTTATCAGCATGTGTGACTTTACTTGTTTTTATTGGGCTAATAAGTAACTTGTTGAGTCTTTACTTGTTATTTGCTATGTTGAGAAAAAAATTTTAAGTCACGCATGCGTATTTTAGTTCTCATATTGCAATTTCGAACGATCGAACTCGTAATATAGACGTTGAATTAACGTGGAATCAACGTCGATTTTATTTGATAGTTTTAAACAAATTTTTCAACGTTGATACAACGTTGATTTTTGGTTATACGACGTCGCGACTAAAAATCAACTGTAAATCAACGTCGAAATAACGTCGTGTGCCCACTGGGTAAGAACTTAATTTATTTCAGAAATTAAGAAGCCCATTTTCGGGCAATTACTTCCACAAAAAATGGGCTCCTAGCATTTATTTGTTCAACGGTTGTTTCTTAACGTATAGCATAGTTACACCTTTAATTTTTTGATGTTAAATTGTAAAATATAGATTTAATTTTCTAAAAAAACTTTTTTGAAAAGGGATCCGTTTTAGGTCACTCTTACTATTATTAAAGTACTACTAATATTATATATGCGCAGTAAATACAATAATTTTATATAATTATTATAACGCATAATAGTTTATTATAACGCAGTTTATCACTCATATATATTTTTTTTTACCTTAACGTGGAGAAATAAACATTTTTAGCTTTTTTCTCATAAATAATGAAAACAATCTTCCGAAAATATAGAGGACGCAGGTTGTGCTAACTCTTTTAGCAGTGGAAACTTCTCTTCATGTTTCCAATAATTTAAAACTCTAGTCATTATTTTTTTTATAACTGAGAGATTAAAGGAAGTTCACACCTTCTTTCTAACCGTTGTGGCAAAATTGCCTAGAGGTGGGCTTTTAACCGCGGATCCGCATTAGTGCCCAGTACCACGGATCCATTTTGTTAGTGTCCAGTACCTAATGAAAATAAGCATTATCTTGGTTTTGTTGCAATATAGTAGCATTACATATCATTGTTGTATACTATTTCGTTAGCTTTCGAGATCTACAATATAAAAAATTGTCAAACATTTAACATACAGACATTACCAGGAGCAATACATCAGTATTGCTTCTTGTAATACCAGTATCTACATCTTTAGAATTAATTTTTTTCAATTGAGGAATGGCTTTATTTGACAAAAAATAAATAAATTAGGAACTCTAAAGAAAAATAAAAAGCCCATATGTTGTGAATAAACCATTAGACTTATATAAATGATTGTTCTTTATTCAAGTTAAAATATTAGACACATACCTATAAAGCGGCTTCAAAACAGATTAATTTTATAAGCGTAACTTGTACAAAAAAAAAGAATCGCGGATTTAATTAAAGTTCTTTTAAAGTCAAGCTCATTGTGCATTAAATTAGATTTAATGCACAATGAGCTTGACTTTAAAAGAACAACGAGACTTGAATGAGCAAACAATTTGTTATGATCCAAATAATCAATAAGAGTCATGATCCAAATAATCAATAAGAGTCATGATCCAAATAATCAATAAGAGTCATGATCCAAATAATCAATAAAAGTCATGATCCAAATATTTGAATCATGACAAGTTTTTTGATTATTCAAGCCTCAAAATTTTTAATTAGATTTAAAGTCAAGCTTAATGTGCATTAAATCTAATTACTTTTCTTCTTTCCACGACTTTTTTTTTTTGTACAAACTACGCTTATTATTTTATTCATTTATTATTTTATTATATATATTATTATATATATATATTTATTATTTATTTATATATTATTATATATAAATAAATAATAATATTTATTATATTTATTTATTATTTATTTATATATTATTATTTATATATTATTGTAATATTTATTATATTTATTTATTATTTATTTATATATTATTATTTATATATTATTGTAATATTTATTATATTTATTTATTATTTATTTATATATTATTATGCGGTAGTGGTGTAGTGGTAGAGCGCTCGCTTCATAAACGAGTGGTTCCGAGTTCGATCTCCACCACGTCCCTGGTAGTACCGCGCTCAACTCGTTTCTCCGCGCAGCGGCCTTGCTCGTCAAGGTTCGTGTTTCGGAGTTATAGAGTTGAGAGAGGGTTATAACCACAAATAAGTAGCCTCCTCGTCTGTAGTGGCCTTCTCGGCCTTGAGGAGGTGAATTAAAATAAAATTAAAAAAAAAAAAAATATATATATATATATATTTATTTATTAATATATATATATATATATATATATATATATATATATATATATATATATATATATATATATATATATATATATATATACTTTTATTTTGCTGATTAAACAGTTACAATAACAATTTTCTTATAATCATGGAAAAAATACACGTCGTAAAGATAAAAATGATATAAAAAACCTTTTTTTCATAATTTTTTATTTTATATTATGTATATTCTGTTCTAATCAGTCATGGACTTAAAGAAGGTTAGGATGATGTGTTTAACATCACAACCTTTTCATAGAGCCCCTATAGTCACTCATTATAAAGACAATTTAATTTTTAAAAATAAAATAAAAATTCAATAAAAACAAAGCTTATATTTTTTTAGTGTAACAAATTCAAAAACAAAAAAATATTAAAAACAAGAAAAATAAGAAGACGGAAAAAAAAATAATAATAAAAACAAATACTGTAAATTAAAAAAATTTATATGTCAGGAATTAAGAATTAAGAAAAGGAATTAAGAAAAGTCTTAATCTGGCACTGCGTTTATGCATAAGTAAAAAATTTGTATAAATAATCATAAAATTCAGGTAAAAAATATTTTTACCTGAATTTTAAAAAAAATTAACAGCGTTAATTTTTTAAATTTAAATATTTTTTTATAATTAAAGAATACATATAAGAAAAAATTTCATTTTTCTTTTAAAAAATTAGTGACTTTGGGATCAAAAATTCATTAAAATATGGTGACTGATGATGAGATGAGAACGTATTTATTCGCACAAACTTTTCTAAAAAACCTTTAAACATTTTCTTTCTATTAAACTTTCGATAAAAACGAAACAATAGGATCTGCACTGACATTTTGAACCAAACCAGGAATTTTAGCAAATTATTAATTGTGGCATCCTACAACTACAATAAAAAAGTGATATAAAAAAATACTAAATATACATGAAGTGATTATAGCAATTATAATAAAAGTAAATGCTGCGAATAAAAAATAATAGTAAAAGTAATAACAATTAAAGTACCAAATTAACACAACAATGAAATATGCTTTTATAGGAAAATATAAAACTTTTTCTACATATAAGGTAAAGTGGGGTTTCTACATATAAGGTGAAGTGGGGTACATTGACGCATCTTTGGAAAATAATTTATTTTATCGTTGTGACGAGCAATAACTTTTATACAACCTATTCTTTGGTTTTAAAAAATAGCAGTAGACCTATATATATAAAAATTGTGATAGTCCTGAAAACATAACAAAAAATTATTATTTGAAGGATATCAATTAGCTTCAATTCTTATAGTGTCTAAATGAAGATATAAAAAAGTTAGTTCACAGTTAGTTTCTGTTTTTACTTAAGAATGTCTAAAAATTACCAAAATATTAAAAAATCAAAATATTAAGCTCTTAATACAACAATATAAAAAATATTAAAATTAAAATATCAAGCTCTTGTTACAACACTACAACACATCTACAACATAACGTACGTACAACGAGCTCTATTAAAATATTAAGCTCTACAACACATCAATATCAAGACTCAATATCTGATTCTGACGAAATCTCACAGCATTGTAATTTTTTCCTGGATTTGTTTGATTCCATTTCATATAACAGTGAATGATTCGTCGGATGTTTACGACATTCCGCCTACTTTGGCTTGATTCTTAGCCCGTGAGATGACTTAAGAATTCCTGTCAATGTTAGCACAAAATTGATATGTGTTTTAAAAAAAAAATGCTACAAAAAAATCTTATAGGCTTAGTGTTTAGAAACAACATCATTAAAACACACAAAAAATGATATTACAGTATGGTTTTGCTTATCTTTTAACTAAAGTTTTTTTAGCAACAAAAAAACTAAAAATTAGTTTAATTTATAACCGCCATATTGTGTTGTTATTTATACTTACTATTATGGGGATAAAAAGTTATATTTGTTCATTCAACATCTGGCTACATCTGTTAAAATAATTTAGACAATAGTCAATGGTTGACAACTTAAAAAATGTCAAAGTAACCCACATTACCTTATGTACTTTTCCTTTTTTTAATGGGCCTTGAACTTTTTTTTAGTTAATAATGTGTGTTTTAATTGTGTTGAAAAAAGTTAAGTTTTCTTTTCATATTAGTCACTCAGTAAAAACAAATGCAGAAGTTAGTTGCAGAAAGCATCTGATGTTTGTGATTAATGAAAACATTTCCGCAACTCATATAAGTTAATGTATTCATGAAAAAGCAGCTCATATGTTGCATATTATATATATATATATATATATATATATATATATATATAAAAATATATATATATATATATATATATATATATATATATATATATATATATATATATATATATATATATATATATATATATATATATTAAATATTTAAATGAAAAAAATACGACTTTTTTATGGGACTTCAAGTTTCATGCTATTCGGCAATCATTCAGCCATATATTTTAAAATCATTAAAATAAAAACCGTTATAAAAATACAAAATTGCGTTGCAACGAGATCAAACGTCAGTTTTCACGCCAAACGGGAATTTGTTTAACCGGTGTCGAAATTCGATAGCAAAAACTTTTTTCTGTGTTAAATTCGATAGCAAAAACTTTTTTCCTACATGCTGAAACCAATTCATTTTTTTTATTTAACAAAGGTTCTCACAACCAACACATTTTGCGTAACCAAAATACCGAAAACGTTAGAAAATGCAACTGTATAGACAGAGCTGCGTGTCCTTTAGAAAATCAATGTCTAACTAAAAATATTGTTTACAAAGCTACCGTAACACCAGCGAACGTCAACCACGCTAAGAAATCTTATATTGGTATTAGCGAAAACTCCTTCAAGATTAGGTTTGCAAACCACATAAAATCATTCAACTTGGTCAGGTATAAAAATGACACTGAACTTTCTAAAGAGATCTGGAAACTTAAGGAAGCAGGCATTAAACCAATAATCAAGTGGAGTATTGTTAAAAAATGTCAACCCTATAACCCATCCTCAAAAAGATGTAATCTTTGCATAAATGAGAAATATTTTATTTCAACATACAATAAAGAACCTTTGTTAAATAAAAAAAGTGAATTGGTTTCAGCATGTAGGCACAGAAAAAAGTTTTTGCTATCGAATTTCGACACCAGTTAAATAAATTCCCGTTTGGCGTGAAAACTGACGTTTGATCTCGTTGCAACGCAATTTTGTATTTTTATAACGGTTTTTATTTTAATGATTTTTAAATATATGGCTGAATGATTGCCGAATGGCATGAAACTTGAAGTCCCATAAAAAAGTCGTATTTTTTTCATTTAAATATTTAATATATTTTGATCTATTTTATAAATATCGATCACTCTTAAACCAACAAAGAGCTGTATTAAATCCAACAGAATACAACACAACTCAATAATAATAATAATATATATATGTACATATATATATATATATATATATATATATATATATATATATATATATATATATATATATATATATATATATATATATATATATATATATATATATATATATATATATATATATATATATATATATATATATATATATATATATATATATATATATATATATATATATATATATATATATATATATATATATATATATATATATATATATATATATATATATATATATATATATATATATATATATATATATATATATATATATATATATCGTTGCTGCAAAACAAAACTATCTTAAGTCCATTTTTGGCAAAATTGACTTTTTTTTGTTTAAAATACTCCTTAGGTGCACTAAAGTCATCTCACTAAGTATGGAACCAAAAATGATGCAACTTTTGCAACTATGAGTAAAACTCAAATATCTTATGTCCTAAAAAAAATAATTAAAAGACATCGTTGCTGTACAACAAAACTATCTTAAGTCCATTTTTTGGGAAGAAAAATTTTTTTATTTTTAGTCGACAAAATTTGTAATGGCACATTATACATATATATATATATATATATATATATATATATATATATATATATATATATATATATATATATATATATATATATATATATATATATATATATATATATATATATATATATATATATATACATATATACATATATATATATATATATATATATATATATATATATATATATATATATATATATATATATATATATATATATACATATATATATATATATATATATATATATATATATATATATATATATATATATATATATATATATATATATATATATATATATATATATATATATAATGTTAGCATGTTTGTGTGTGCCTGTAAAATTATATTTATATATATAACTTTTAAAAAGAAAAATATATATATTGATAATTGTGGCACTTGGATGATCAACAACTTAATAACTTTGTCAGTAACCTGCTTAATGATAAATTAAATTCAAATTCAAGTTTGCTGCATGGATTTTGATTTTATGACAAATTTTAAATAAAGAAAGAAGCAGCTGAAAATTCTGGAGATCCAAGTGGGAGCCAGAAAAGCTTTTTTAAAGAACTGATTTTACTTTCCACATTTTAATTTTAAACTATATCTCTATAAGTAAAGAAAAAACTCCTAATCATCCCAACACGTTTTGTGATGATTGGGAGTGAAGCATACTACTTGATTGAAAATGATAAACATGATTTTTGTAATAGTGTCCATCTATCTATCTTGTTAGATAGCTGGAGACTGTTACAAAAAGGCAAAAAAAATTAGAGTTTGTAAAAAGCAACATTTTACCATGTAGAATAATTCTAAGAAATAAGTTTAAAGTTAGGTAGAAAAATTTGGAATGAAAAAATATAAGGCGACTAGAAGGAGGTTTATGCAAATCCTTAAATGCTATAAAAAAGAAAATTATATACAAAATTCATGTAATAACTTTAAAATAACACTTATTTAAAGTTATTATTTAAATATAACTTATTAAAGTAATGACACATTAAATGTATAGAAATAATCTATACAAATTGGTTAATCATCAATTAGATATAAAATAACTTATTAAACATACGCAGCTCTTTTAAGGTTAAGCATAGATTCATAGCCATTTTCCAAATATCTGAATGACATAAGCTTATTATCATAAATTTGTACAGAACAAAGAATATTAATCTAATCAAGTTAAAAAAAAATCTTTTACTCCTTAAGATGACAAAATACTGCTATTAATACTACTTCACTAATATAGTAATACTGTATTTAACTATTTAAAATCTTTTTAAAATTTTTTAGCAACTATAACAACTTATAACAACACAAGTTTTCTAATTTTTTTATAATTAATAAGAAATATAATTCTAATGACAATATAAGTCTTATATGCTTTTTGATTAACAAAAATAATTAAAAGAGAAGACACTAACACTTTATTTGCAGAAATCAATACCAAAAAAACTACTTTTATATAAATATTAATCTAACCAAAATATTCTCAATAACTAAAAAATAACTACACCATTGAATGCAGCTCTTAGCAAAAAGGAACCAACTAAAAAAAAAAAAATCCTTCTCTTGCTTTAAAAGCAAGGCTTTTAAAGCTACAAAATTTAATTATATGCATATTAAATTTACAGGTAACTTTAGGTAAATTTAGGTAAGATAATTTTTTACGTGTTTGTATAAATTAAATAAAAAGAGTTGCTTTTATTGTAAATAAGTTGGTTCCATTTTATTTAAACTCCAAAAAGTAATTTTTAATATAAACAGTTAAACACGTATTCTAAAGATACTAATGCTATAAAAACTTGTTTTATTTTAATTTCTCTCATGGTTAATGCGTGTTCTTATCTGAGTAACTGTAAAGTTTTCTAATAAATTAGTGTTTTGAAGCACATCTAAGATTCGAGTTCGAGAAAGTGGTCCTCCCAAAATTAGATCTTTCCCATAGTTTTTTAAATCAGATAATTGCTCTGCAGACCAGCTTTTCCTATCATAACTCAATTGCCTTTTTGTCTAGAGTAAACACTATATATAAATAGAGGTACACACAAATTTATATAATATATATATATATATATATATATATATATATATATATATATATATATATATATATATATATATATATATATTTAATATAAATATATTTAATATAAATATATTTATATATAAATTTATAAACTAAACTATTTTAACTTTATAAAAAATTTAACTTAGCAACCTTTGTATCTATTTCTGTTGCAGTGTTTTTTCTCTTCATGCTTTTTAACTTATCATAGGCTTGTCTTGGGGAGCATTTAATACTACATGGTGAACTTCCTAGCGAAGATTTAACTTTTCCATATGATATATTTTGATTTTCTGGAAATAATGAATTTAATAATAATGTTTCTTCATTATTCCATATTTTTTTAGGAGAATTAAAAGATTGATTATTTTTATCATTTATTGGAGAGTGAACAGGAATATCATTTTGACCATAAGAAACATACTTTTCATAAGGTTTTAATGGTGATGATTGAAAACTTTGTCTGATTACATTACTTCCTTGAACAGAACAATTCATCTGATTTTGAGTTTCATAATGAACAGCTGCAGTTTTCTTGTTGTGCGTTATGGAACGTGCCACAACACCTCTATGATTATAAAATGTGCTATTTTCATCATTTACCATAGTTGATGTTGTTTTGCGCACTTTATTTGCTGATAATTTTTTAGGAATTATGCGCCCATCAAAAATACCGGCTTTTACCCATAAAGAGTGCAATCTGCCACTGATATCGCCAGATGACATTTCTTTACCACACCAAGATAAAAAAACCTTATCTGAATGAATAGTTGGCAACTTTGACCTAACAAATTTAACAAAAATTTCAATCCATTCAAACTCTAATGGATTAAGTGTAACTCGGGCAGTACCATATTTTGAAACTGTTTTATGGTCCCAAACACTTATCATTCGAACTCCATTATCCAAAACTTTGTATCTCTGATACTCTTCCATGCTCATATTAGCAGTAACGCCAGATCTATGGGCACTACAAAAATGAATGATAAAAAACAAATGATCTCTATATGAACAATATTCAAACTGAGACAATGTTTTAGCATTATCAACTTTTAAAGATTCTTGCAATTCTTTGGCAAATAAAGCATTTTTGCTACTTTCATATTTCTTAACTTGATCAGGAGTGATAAGCATTTCGTAATCATCTTCTGACTTTTTATGCTTTTGAAGATTATCTCTAGCTTTATTTATTTTTTTTCCAGTTTTCAATATTCAAAATTGTTTTGTAAATATCTTCAATAGGGAGGTTTGGCAATTTCTTTTTTGTCCTGCTAAAAATAAACAAAAATCTTTTAACGAATTTAAGTAGGTCTTTATTGAACCTGCTCCTAATTTTCTCTCAACACAATGTACTTGAAGATATTGATGCCTAATGATGTCTGTATCATTTTCAAATATTATGTTGACAGATGTTGTTGCACTAATAGCTAGTAAAATTCTCTTTACATCATTTCTAACTTTTTCAAGTGATCTACATTTATGGGCTCTATCTGGACCTGTATATAAAAAAAAAAATCAGATAGCAATTCTTCAATGGAAGGGCTTAATTGTACTTTTGATGACTGACTTTCCTCAGTATCACAATTAGATAAGACATAATCTGAGTCATTATCATTATCATTGTCATCATCATCATCATCATTATCATCACAATCTTCATTTGAGCAAAGGGCATTTGGAACATTAATTATAGGATTTTTAGATCGTAGTTGAGGCAAAGGAGACATTTGAACAGTAAGTTTAACTTGTGACTTTTCTGTAACTGAAGACATTGGGTCATTTAAAAGAAAAATGTTATTATTTAGAGATAAATGTTCAGAGCTGTTTGAAGAGACTGATGGTTTGTAAATTTGAAGTGCTTTACTTGGAGATTCTGCACTCAGATCTACTCCTTTATATATTAAGGCACATTTTAAAAGAGCGTAATATTCTTTTCCAGGATAAATTTTGTGAGTCTTACTCCTGAGATGCTCACCTATATTTATTGTTACTTTATAGCAATTAGGGATTGGACATATTTTTTTTTTAATGATAGTTTTTATGTTTTAATGGAGAAGATTTTTTTTTATATTGTTTTCTTAAATTAAAAACTCCAACAACACTCTTGCTACTTGATGTAGACCAATTATGTTCTGATGCCATGTGACCAGGAAGATCCAAAATAGAAGTATTACATATTGGGCAGTCTTTCATATATTGTTCTCTAACAACAAAAAGTAACTAAATATTTTCAAATAAGCAATCTTTATTAACACGTTATTAACTAACAAAAATTCCTTTCTAAATTTTATATTTAAACTGTAAATACTAAGAATCTAATTTATTAAAATGAAACTAATAGGTATTTTTAAAGTAATAATAAATTTTTTCTCTTACTTACGAATACAAACTTACTTCAAAACTTTAGGAATTACTTTAAATTTTTTTAAGCTACTTTCTGTACTAGATGTTAAGCTAAAAAAAAAAAACCTTTAATTTATTGCTGCTTCATTACCTCAACTTTAATTACTCAAATACAAATAATCAAAAATGTTCATGTAAACCTACTTTAAAACTTGATTTTTAGCTGTATGACTTTCATAAATATCTGCAAAACTTGTATTAAAAGTATTACTACATGTTAGGCTAAAATGAAATCAAAAAAGAATAATAAATTCTTCATTTTATTACTGCCTTAATTTTAATAACAAATAATCAAAAATGTTCATGTAAACCTACTTTAAAACTTGATTTTCAAAAGTAACAACTTCTGAAGCTGTATGACTTTTATGAATATCTGCAAAACTTGCATTACAAATATTACTACATGTTGGGCTAATGAATAAAAATTCTTCATTTTATTACTGCCTTAATTTTAATAACAAATAATCAAAATGTTCATGTAAACCTACTTTAAAACTTGATTTTCAGAAGTAACAACTTCTGAAGCTGTATGACTTTGATGAATATCTGTAAAACTTGCATTACAAATATTACTACATGTTGGGCTAAAGAATAAAAAATTCTTCATTTTATTACTGCTTTAATTTTAATAACAAATAATCAAAATGTTCATGTAAACCTACTTTAAAACTTGATTTTCAGAAGTAACAACTTCTGAAGCTGTATGACTTTTATGAATATCTGCAAAACTTGCATTACAAATATTACTACATGTTGGGCTAAAGAATAAAAAATTCTTCATTTTATTACTGCCTTAATTTTAATAACAAATAATCAAAAATGTTTATGTAAACCTACTTTAAAACTTGATTTTCAGAAGTAACCACTTCTGAAGCAGCATGACTTTCATGAATATCTGAAAAACTTGCATTGCAAATATTACTACATGTTGGGCTAAAATAAAATCAAAAAAGTATAATAAATCCTTAATTTATTGCTGATTCATTACCCCAATTTTAATTACTCAATTACAACTAATCAAAAATGTAAATTGAAATATAAGCATTATTATTTTTTTCATATTATAATTAATTTTATATGATTCTTACATGGAATGAGCAATACTCCTTAACTGAAAAGTTATTTTGATTAATTTAAATTTTTTTTTAAATATTTTTATTTAATATAATAAACTTAAAAACTGCCAATTTTGAGAAGCTATAAATTCTAAAACAATGGATACAAGAAGTTATAAATTGTTTTAAAACTGCTACAATGGATACGTTAAAAATAATAAACATACCTTTAAATCTATTGCTGTTTTATTACCTTAATTGAAAAAGGGAATAATTGAAAAGTTATGTAAACCTGCTTCAAACTTACAATTTCAGAAGTAGTAAATTTCAAAACTGATGTGTTTCCTTGAACTTCATGTAATTTTTTTTTTCAATATGAAGTTATGCCAAAGTTAATTTTTTTCAAAAAGTTACCAAAAAAGCACTAAAGCTAAATACTGATTTTCAGTTTATTAAAAGAAGAAAACTATTTTAAAAAATTTAACAGAAAAATGTCTACATCATTTAGTTTTTTGTATTTGTTATTTTACAGATTTTAATTAACTCAGATATTAAATTTACATAAATAATAACTTCTATAACTGCTGGTCAAAACAGTCAAAACAACCTACTCTTAAATTAGTGATTCAGAAGTAATAACTTTAGAAGTAATAATTTATTATACTTATAGCTTATTATACTTATAAGTAATAACAGAAGTAATAACTTTAGAATATGAAAGAACAGATAAAACATCAAAACTTTTTTTACTTATTGTTCTAGGTGTTAAGTTAAATGACATCAAATATGTTGACATTAAACAAATTTATCCCAAATTACTTTTATAAGAAGCAAATAAATATTTTAAGTCAACAATAAAATTTGTATTAGTAATTTAAAAACTTTTTCAAATTTGAAATAAGCTTGTCATCTGTTAAAATAAAAACAAAAAATAAGGATGTAGTGCATCCGAGAATTGCTACTAATGATTGTATTTAAAGACACTTCTACAGCATATAAACTTATTTTAAAAATGGACTTTTAGAAACCATTGTTTCTGAAACTGAAGGAATTAAATCAAAACAGAAGATATTTTCTTTACCTGATGTCAAGCTAAAACAAAACAATTGATATTATTAAATGCTTCCAATAAATTATTGCTTTTTAATTACTTTAATTAAAAGAGGACAACTAAATTAAAAATCTTATGGTTCTTACTTCAACAAATCTGATGCTCCAGAAGTAATTACTTCAAAAATCCCTGCGTTTTTTTTAACTTCTTTTTTTCTTTTTTTTGAGTTATGCAGAAGTCAATTTCTTCATTAAAGCTGTAGTTTAATCTAACATTCTTTTACAAAATACTGTTTCCTTGCATTAAAACAAAAAACAAATAATATTATTAACCTAAGCTAATAATGTTATTTGACAAAAAGTCTATTCAATTATTTTTTGTTTCACCTATTCAAAATTTAAATGTTAACTTTTATCTTTTTTCTACACCTGATATAATATCTTAATAAAAACTAAAAAAAGATAAAAACAATTGTAAATAATCAATAACAAAACTACCTTATGTGTTTTTTGAAATCATCTGGTTGTGATGGAAACACCTATTTTAAATAATATAATTTAAAGTTTATATTGTAAATTTAAATATATACAAAAGGCTAAAATAATTTCTTATTTTCAAGTCCTAACAAAAAAAGCATGTTAAATAAAAATATTTAGTGGAGATACCAATTGTGTTTTTCAGTTTAAATTTTTTCGTAAATAAAACTGTACGAAATCAAAAAGGTTTGAAAACAAAACATGAATTTCCACCAAAATTATGAATTTTGGTGAGAATCATTATTTCAATACTAAAAAATTTTTATATACATGTAGTAATTGTTTTAATGTTAATTTATATATAATTAATGCAGAACAAATAAACTAGATAAATTTTTATTTCAGACTCACATGGGTCAAGTAATTTGTTCATATGGGGATACTTAATCGCCGCAAGTGGGATAACTGTTTCTCTGTAAATAAAGTATCCAATGAAAATAACATAAGTAAACAAATTAAAAAAGATGTTTTGATTTAGTTATTTTTATTGTTTTACCTAAGTTATTTTTATTGGATACTTTAACAAATTTAAACCACAACAAATTGAACTTACTACAAACTATAGAATTAAACTCATCCTAAAAAAACAACATTTTTAATAAAACATCAACATCAAATTTATGATTAAACTTTATAGTCGGCTGTTCTGGTTGTTACGCTGATGGATAACTGCAATAGCTTCCCAACATAAAAATTGAGTATTTCTACAGTATGAAACTTGACTAAAACGTAGTTGCCAGGCTTAGGATCTGTTTCATCAATAAGTTTCAAA